AAAAAAAACCTTCCCCTTGAGGGTTTGGATTGTTCAAATACCGTGCTTGAAGTGATTAAGTGTCTGAATAAGCTCTAGATTGCTCTCTTTCTCCCTCTCAGATGGAAATTGATTTGAGGGTACAGTATTGCTTTGTCATTAGCAAAAGGTTGAAAGAAAAACAAGGAGGTTTGCTTAAAAATGATTTTGAGCAGGCACTAGAATACGACTACATGCTGTATAGTCATGGCTACATATACAGGACTACTTTGTTCCAAGTACAGGTAGTCCTCGACTTACAACAGTTCATTTAGTGACCATTCAAAGTTTCAATGGCACTAAAAAAAGGGTTTATGACAGCTCTTCACAGTTATAACCATTGCAGCATCCCCATAGTCATGTGATCAAAATTCAGACACTTGGCAATCTCTATATATAAAAGTGAAAACCACTCACACCGTAATCACGAAACCTCCAGAACCGTAAAGCCTACAAACTTGAAATTTGCCACTTTTGTTCCTCTTGGCTTCTAGATGCTCACTAAGAAAGGATTTTTCAAAATGACCATCAGACCATTAGTATTTCCTATATTATGATTAGCACACTCTAATGCTAAGGAGTTCTACTCCCTCTCCCCATCTGAAAAGAAATCTGTTCTAAATGCAAAATACAAGCAGAGGAGAGGAGTTTCACTTTCAGTTTTACTTTCACAGCAGCAACCAGAGGATGGGATATGGGAGGCTTCTGTGGGGCAAGCCTGAGGGAGAAAAGGGGATAGGATAGAAGAGGCTTCTGTGGGGCAAGGCTGAGGGAGAGAAGGGGATAGGATAGGAGAGGCTTCTGTGGGGCAAGGCTAAGGGAGAGAAGGGGGTAGGATAGGGGAAGCTTCTGTGGGGCAAGGCTGAGGGATAGAAGGGGGTAGGATAGGAGAGGCCTCTGTGCAGCAAGCCTGAGGGAGAGAAGGAGGTAGGATAGGAGAGGCTTCTGTGGGGTAAGGCTGAGGGAGAGAAGGGGATAGGAAAGGGGAGGCTTCTGTGGAGCAAGCCTGAGGGAGAGAAGGGGAGAGGAGAGGCCAACCATAACTATTCATTAATTTTCAAGCTGTATGTGTCAATTTATCAAGCCAGATCACATAGTTTTGTAGCGAAGCATGGGTAGCCAGCTAGTTGGTTCATATTGCAGTGTCCCGGGTCATGGGATCCCCTTTTGCAACCTTCTGATCAGTAAAGTCAATGGGGAAGCCAGATTCACTTAACAACCGTGTTACTAACTCAACAACTGCAGTGATTCACCGAACAACTGTGGCAAGAAAGGACATAAAGTGGGCAAAATTCACTTAACAACTGCTTCACTTAACAATAGAAATTTTGGGCTCAATTAGGTCATAAATCGAGGACTAGCTGTGGTGTGTTATCCTTAGCAGCTGCTGAGGCTTCCACTATCTTGTGTTACTTAGCACTTAGTTACTATTTCAATGCATTTCTGTACATCGCAAAAGCTTGTTGCCATGTTCAAGGCAGGTCCACACGGTGAGACTAGAAAATTGGAATCCATGATTGAGCCTTTATTCTTAAAGAGGATGAAGTGATGCTTGAAAAAGGTGCTTACAACATGGCATCAGAGTTCAGCATACCATAGTCTTCTGACTATGCAAAAACCATATTGAGCTAACCAATGTACAGTATGCTACTTGTAGAGTGTTCTCCCGAATGTATAGTTTGCGTTTTTCATATGTTTGGATCAGATATTAAAATACATAGCCTTCTTCTTCTTGTGCCATATCCGTCATCGGACATTGGCGATCCTATTTTTATCAACAGCCGCATGAAAAAGTACTGTTGAGTTTTATCCAAACCAGTCCCTTAGATTTTGAAGCCATGATGTTCTTCTGCCTGGACCTCATTTGCTTTCAATCTTTCCTTGGAGGATTAAGTAAAGTATGCTGTATTTTTCTGGGTGTCGCATCACATATCCAAAATATTCTAACTTCTGCTTTTGTATGGTTTTGATGATTTCATTTGGCTTTCCTAGGTGGCTTATCACCTGCTCGTTTCCCAATTTTGTCAACCCAACTTAATACGTAACAGCTGCCTGTAAATCCACATTTCAAATGCTTCTAGTCTCTTCAAGTGGTTTTCTGTCAGAGACCAACTCTCTACTCCATACATAGTCTAGCAAAATATAAACTTAATAGAAATAATAATAGATTCTGCCCTGAAAACTTAATCTACATATCTACAGTATGGCAAAGGTAAATGGTAATGGAACATGTAAAGGATAGCTAGATGCAGTTTGGTCTAGTGGTTAAAGCATCAGGCTAGAAAGCACGAGGCCTTGCATTCAAGTCCTGCCTTAAGCCATGAAAGCCAGCTGAGTGACTTTTGGCTATTTACTCTCTTTCAGATCAATCCTGGTTTGTTGTTATGGAGAAAATAGGAGGAGGTAGAATATGTTGTTGAATATGTTGTTGAATATGTTTTCTACCTTGAATTATTTATAAAAACAACGAAGGCAGGATACAAACAAACAAGCACATAAAAAAATAAAACAAGCAAACGCCATATTACAGGTAGTCCTTGATTTACAGCCACAATTAAGCCCAACATTTCTCTTGCTAAGCGAGACAGTGGCCAAGTGAACTTTGCCCCATTTTACAACCTTTCTTGCCACCGTTGTTAAGTGAATCACTGCAGTCGTTAAGTTAGTAACACGCTTGTTGAGTGAATCTGGCTGCCCCATTGACTTTGCTTGTCAGAAGGTCGTAAAAGGGGATCACATGACCCTGGGACACAGCAAAGGTCATACATATGAACCACTCGCCAAGCATTTGAATTTTGATACGTGACCAAAGGGAGGCTGCAACAGTCATAAGTGTGAAAAAGGGTCATGTGTCACTATTTTCAGTACCAATTTCAAATGGTCACTAAATGAATTGTTGTGAGTCGAGGACTATCCGCCTCGCCTTTTTTTTTCAACAGCAACTAATAACAATAACAATAACAACAGCACTTAGATTTATATATCGCCCCATAGTGCTTTACAGCACTCTCTGGGTGATTTGCAATGTCAGCATTATTCCCCCCAACAATCCTCATTTTACCGACCTCGCTTGGAAGGATGGAAGGCTGAGTCAACCTTGAGCCCTGTTAGGATTGAATTCCAGGCTGTGGGCAGAGTTTGCCTACAATACGGCATACCAACCACCGTGCCACTTGGTTTCCTATGCAAGTTCATCACCATTCACATTCAGCAAAATCACTGCTACTCCCTAACTTTGGCCTTGGGTCATAAGAAACATTTACATTTATCTACTTGCCCCAATAGAATAGTTCCAGTTACGAAATGATAAGATTTTATCTTCAGAGCCACAGTTTCCCACCACCTCAAGTAACTCTTTCCTCTTTCCCCCTGCCTCTTCATCCAGCCCAAAAGTTCTGCTATACAGGTAGTCCTCGACTTACAACAGTTCATTTACTGACCGTTCAAAGTTACAACATCACTGAAAAAAGTGAATTATGACCATTTTTCACACTTAGGACCATTGCAGCATCCCCATGGTCATGTGATCAAAATTCAGCCCGGTGGCAACTGACTCGTACTGATGACCTTTGCAGTGTCTTGGGATCATGTGATCCCCTTTTACGACCTTCAGACCAGCAAAGTCAACGGGGAAGCCAGATTCACTTAACAACGATGCTACTAACTTAAGAACTGCAATGGTTCACTTAACAACTGGGGCAAGAACGGTCGTAAAATGGAGCAAAACTCACTTAACAAATGCCTCACTTAGCAACATAAATGTGGGGCTCAATTGTGATCGTAAGTTGAGGACTACCTATACTTGACAGCTTGCACCCTAGTTTTAGGAAACAGAGTGGCGAAGACCACTTACTGGGATGAAAGAGCAAGAAAAGTTCCTCAAAGCCTTCTCGTTGGCCATGAAGGGAAATAGGATGTTTGAATAAATAGACATTTTGTCAGATCCATCAGGGCTCTTACTCTAAATTTAAGACATTTTAATTGGATCTCATACATTAATTACCTTGATATTCTCTTTGGCTTCCTGAATGAGCTTCCTATCTCTCATGCAAATGAACACCCACTTACCACTTTGGCTAGTTTATAGAAAAGCACTTTTAGCACAGTATGTTGAGCAATTTAAAGAGAAACCTAGAAAGGGTTGATTTCTGGAAGCAATGGTATCAACTATTAAGAGACATATTGGATATGCTGCAGTTTCTAAAATCTAGTCAAGACATATCTTATATATTACAGGAAGCAACAACAAAGATGGATAATGTAGAGGAAATTGATGAAAATGTATGCCAACGAAACATCTGTACAAATTGAGACTTGGTGAGTAAAGACATGCCATGGAGAAAGATGGATTCTAACACCACAGTGTGCTCACCTCTTTCTGTGTAACAAAATGGCACATGTTGTGATGCATTTCCACTCCATAAAAGAAATGCCCTTGTTCATTTGGTTCATAGACCAAAGGTGGACAACTATGGCAACTTTATGACTTGTGGACTTCAACTCCCAGAATTCCTGAGCCAGCATGGAATTATGGGAGTTGAAGTCCACACATCGTAAAGTTGCCACAATTGCCCACCCCTACCATGAACTAACAAGGTGTTTAAACCTGGAGGCAAAGCAGTAGACTCAGTCTACTGGTGGCCCACGGGCCGGATGCATCACACACAGGCCATGCCCACCCCAGCTCCGCGAAGGGGAAAACATTGCGATACGTCACATGACGGCAATGTGACGCGGTGAATTTGACACCCGTGCAGTAGAGAGAAAAGTGTTAAGGGACTTCTGGTTTTGTCTTCTTGTTTTTTTCTGTTTCTACCTAAAATAGTGCTATTCTGTAAATTACAATAGAACTACTGTACCAACCACTCAAACAGTTTATAGCTGTTGAGACAATTGTAGAATAGCCATTTATTTCACTTTGGGGACAAAAACAAAAACAAATATTAATCCAATTCAGTGCTGAAAAGAGGCTTTCAACTTACCTGCTGATGTGTGCTTGAACTTTTCACTCTTCTTCTTCCTCCATTTCCATGGCTTGAAAAGTCTTCCTAGATTGGCAAACTTACTTCTCCTCCTTATAGGAGGGGTGTGTGTCCCTGGAACCAATGAGTCTGAACGCATTGCAGCCAGTCTCTCCACTTCCTCAGCTGGGTTGTCACAAAAGAAAGGAAAAGAAGAAAAGAGAAGAAAGCCACCTTAGTAAAACAGATGGGAAATATTTCTCCATGTTGAAGCCCCATTTGGAAAGTGCTACCAAATAAATGCTACCACATTAATTTGTAGCACTTTGCAACAAATGGTCACCAATAATCCGAAAAGAAGATCCCAGAGTCAGATAGAACTTTCCCTTCTCGATTATGAAGGAAGTTTAAGAAGATTCTTGAGGCAGTTTGTTTCCTGTTTATCTTTTAAAATACATGGGAGAACTAGAAGAGATCTGTATGACACAACCTAGAGCTGAACTATAACTCAAGACATTGCCTGTTACTCCTGTAACATGCATTGTCCAAGAATTATGCTGGTTAGTGTGCGAGTCTGGGAATCCAGCTTCTTTAAGAGGAAGTTGAAAATGCAGTTTGTGAGCCCGTACAATTTCTGAATTTCCCCCTTCCTCCATTTCATTGAAGGAGGCCTAGATACCAGGGATGTTGAAGACTTTCTACACAGCTTCTGCAAGTTATTGCTCAAATTCTTAATTAAATGTTGCTGCTAAATGTTCGACAGTGACTTTTGTACATACATCATAGACTATATCTCCTTTAATCCACCATCCTGGGCAATCTGTCTTCCCTAAAAAGATGTCAAGCCTCACATATGATTGATTGATATTTGTATTTTTTATTCAGAAATCTCAGGCAATCAAAGAACATTATGGATATAGAGGTGGCTGAAGCTAAGTTTGTTTCATCATTATGAATCTTTTTAGCAAGATTTACTGACGTTCAAATCAATTGGAATATATCCCTTCAATGATTTTAAAGTGGTCTGTGGATATTTGGAAAAAAAAAAGGTGGGTTACTTGATGTTTGATTAAATATCTTTCAATAAATACTAAAAAAAAATAAGATTGTATTTGTAGATGGGAACATTTATTTATGTAATATGTAAATCACAAATACTCAGTACCAATTACTGCCAAGCCCCTGCAATTAAAATTAGAAACGATAGTAAAATATTAATGATAAAAACCAAATAAAAGTCACACAGAATAATCTGCAATTATCATGATATTATCAAAATCAAATTATTACATGAGAACAGTAAATAAAAAGTCAATGAAACATGCAAAATATACATAAAAATACACAACAGCAATAAAAACAGACAGCAAATAAACTATTGTGCAAGAAAGCTAAATAATCTAAAGAAAAATAAATTTTGGGATTTTTATTAAAACATAATACAGAATAGGGCAATTAACGAAAGGTGTAAAGGGAATTCAAAAGTGCTGGTACTGACACCAAATTGCTTGTCTCAGGTTGACACTGAGGTAAACAGATGGTTAAAACTCCTCAGGAGTGTATGGGGAAAGATAAATAACTGTTGATAAGAATTTTCTTCAAGGGATTCCTATGTCAATATCTTTCAGGTGTTTTAAGCAGACTGGTAAATAATTTATGAAGCTTCTATGGGAAGAACAGCCCCCAACAAAGAAAATGATTTTAATTTCACTCATTTGCAGCTTTATTTGGGGGCATACGATATATTTAATTCTACTTTTTATGAAATTTAGAAAACTGAAATGAAAATTCAGATTTATGTTTTTATTTGACTCCTCTGATCTGGCAGAGGTTTCATGCCTTTTTTTAGTGAATGCTCAACTATATTTTTTTCAACATAAAAGGCAGGTTGGAAAATACTGAGAAATATAATTTTGATCCTTACTCATATCATGAGCTTACCCTTTGGGATAACCCCAGTCTGAAAAATCACAGGTAAAGTTTTTTGAAGGGAACTCCTGAGTGAATGAAGGTATCAATATTTTAAATCAACATTAATCCATTTTAAACATGATCATTGTCAAGTATCACTTTATATATGGCAGGTTTCCCCCAACTATTAGTAGCAGGAGCAATTAGACAACCTTATAAGAATCCAATAATGTCTGATAAATAATCTTTTTTGAAGAAAAGTTAGAAACCCACAAATAATCAATGATCATCATTGATTTATTCTAAGAACAAGCCCTGTATATAGAAGCAATATTTAAAGTGACTTGTGCCTTTTTCTCTTTTCTGCCTGGCCTTCTTTTCTATAGAAACTAGAGAGCAGTTTTCAGCTGTTCCTTGCTTTTGCAATGATCAAATGTGCCTCCATGTTGTTTCCCACTGGCTGTTGGAGAATTAATTCTCAAAATTCAGTTAGAATAACTTTATGATTTCAAAATTTGGTCCAAATCAGTGGTGGGTTTCAACAGATTCTGACCAGTTCTGGAGAACCAGTAGTGGAAATTTTGAGTAGTTCGGAGAACCGGTAGTAAAAATTCTGACTGGCCCCGCCCCCCATCTATTCTCTGCATCCCAAGTCCCAGCTGATCGGGAGGAAATGGGAATTTTGCAGTAACCTTCCCCTGGAGTGGGGTGAAAATAGAGATCTTACAATATCCTTCCCATGCCATGCCCACCAAGCCACACCCACAGAACCGGTTGTAAAAAATTTTGAAACCCACCACTGGTCCAAATGTCTTAGTTTTTTAAAGATCTTGAAATATTACTAATAGTGAAAAACATTTTGGATGATTCTACCCCAGTTTTTCTATAGACTAGAATATGTTCAAAGTAGAAATTTGTTATTTGCAAAAATTTTGGAATGCAGAGTTGATATAGCCTATGCTGATAAACCAGTAATAAGATTATTTGTGCTGGGGAAATCAGGAGATTCAGGCAGTTCAAATGTGTGTAAAGATTTATTGCAAACTTAAGCTCTCTACAGGAATCTGGCCAACTAACAATCAAGGGAAATGAGCTGGAGATAAGAAAGGCATTCAAGGTAGGCTGGACTTAGATCTCTTGTAGGCATGCAGGGACTCATGACTTATGATGCGTTTGACCCTTCTCTCAATTTCAGCCTGGTCATCTCCTACAACCTGATGACATTTAAAATGCTTCTTCATACTGAACATATCTTTAGGATATTTAAGATAATGCTAATTCAGCAATATTTTCCATGTTTATTGGACAGTCTAAAGAATGTTTAAAAAGCATTGGTTGCCCACTTCTTTATGCAAGAAATAGAAAATGATGGAGAGAACACCTCTGTATATGATACAGACTTGTCCTATTGTTTTGGTTCAATACACGTAGTCTTCAACTTACAACTAGTCATTTAGTGACCATTAGAAGTTACAACTGCACTGAAAAGATGACTTAGGACCATTTTTCATACTTACGACCATTGCAGCATTTCCATGATCATATGATCAAAATTTGGATGCTTGCCAACTGGTTCATATTTATGATAGATGGTCGTAAATCAAGGGCTACCTATTTTGCAATGCATACATTATGGTTTAGCAAACTATATAGCTTCTAGCAACTGTGTTCTATTCAATAAATCATAGCTAAGCACATTGTGCTTAGCTAACCCATAGCTAACATCCTAGGTGAATCTCACATTTTTTTTCCTTCCACATCCACTTCTTTCTCTTCTAAATTCAGAGCACCACAACAAATTGTTTAATTTAACTGAATCAATGGTGATGCTTAAACCCTCAAGATGAAGCCTCTGCTGTAGGAATGACAGGAAAATATGGCCCACATAGTTTAAATAGTTGACTCGCAGGGGTTAGGAGAATCGGAAAGCAGTAATTATCTCTTCTCTTCTCTTCTTCCATTTTATTTTTACTCCACATTTTGTTTAGTTTTCTTGAAGTGTTGAAGAACACTTTACACTTATATGAATCATAAGTAACAGATTTCCATAGGGCTAAATCTGGAACCAACCATATACTTAAAGGAAGGGCATTTTTTTTAAAAAAAGCATTAGGCTCCTTTCACACAAGCCCTGCCCCATCATCCTGATATTCATTGTTATGCTGAATAGAAGTGGACCCGTTACAACCATTCTGCTGAGCAAAAAACTGAGAATTAAACAAAATAGCTCTAAAGTAGTTCAGAATGATGCTATATGGATCCCTGTTCGCCTAGTTCTATAATAAAATACCATCAAAGTATATCATGTCCGTAACTCCACCTTGCTTATATTATTCAGTTACTCAGCGGATGGCAATTATGGCAGCTATTATACTTTCTCTCTCTCAGTGGCTCAGCGGTTTCTTCTCCCCCTCAGTTTTAAGGAGGCTACATTAATTGTGTAGCTACTGCCAAAGAAAGAGTGAACTCTAATAAGCAGAATCTGTTACCAAAAAAGAAAAAAACCCCCAGCATTCTGAACAATTCACAGCAGAGATTTAATGTGAACAGCATAAGAGGGATGTCCTGCTAATATTTTTAATGTAAAATCTCATTCAGAAATATGTTTTCCCACATTGTTTGGGAAAACGTTCATGTCACAAAGCAGAAATGAATGCCAAGCATATTGGAGTAGGTACTGCTGAGACAGAGGGATTGTCTTTTGAATAATAGCACATTTAGAGTATTTCCCAATGTGAAACTTCCATAATTTTTTATCCCCACAATCTATAGAAAGAACATTGGAAAGATAATAAATGGACATAATTGGTATAATCTTCTAATCTATTAGCCAGCTTCAAATTTCCCTCCCATTGCCAACTCAGTTGGCAGCAGTGGTGAAATCCAATTTTTTTACTACCGGTTCTGTGGGCGTGGCGTGGTGTGCATGGCGTGGCCTGGTGGGAGTAGCAGGGGAAGGATACTGCAAAATCTCCATTCCCACACCACTCCAGGGGGAAGGATATTGCAAAATCTCCATTCCCACACCACTCTGGAACCAGCCAGAGGTGGTATTTGCTGGTTCTCCGAACTACTCAAAATGTCCGCTACCAATTCTCCAGAACCTTCAGAACCTGCTGGATTTCACTCCTGGTTGGCAGTGCGAGGTTCTCAGGGTCTTTTGGAAGATCAAGAGGGTGGCAATGGGTCTCACATTGAAAGGAGTGGGAGCCATGACAGAAAAGTTAAGTCTCCTGGACCATGCCAGCTGCAATTCTTTGGCTGATGGGATGGAG